CACTGATTGAGTGAAAAGGTAAATTTGAGACCTAGAATTCCCAGAATAAACCCAACTTAATCATGGTGCATTATTCTTTTTATATATATTTAGATTTTATTTTTAATGCTTTATTTAATATTGTTACTTTTGTAATTATGAGAGATTTACTATAGCTTTTCTTTTTTGTAATATCATTGTTAGGTTTCAGCAGCAAAGTTTTAATAATCTCATAAAAGAAGTTGAGAAACATTCCCTCTTTTTCTATTTGTGAAAGGATATGGGAGATATTGATACCATTTCTTTCTTGATTGGAAGAATTTAGTTGTGAAGCTTTCATGAGCTGGAAAATTCTCTGTGACAGAAGTAGATATACCAAAAAGCCAATATTATGCTGCTTTACCAAGTATCCCTACACAAAGGTAAAGGGTCAGAGGTCATATTGCACTGCAGTCCTGTCCTATGGCACCAAAACATAACAAAATAGGAAATTTAAACCTGATATGTGGAAAATTCTTTCATTAGTAGATTATAAGTAGCCGTTTCAGTTTTTCTCAAAGAATGGTCAAAATAAGTCTTCTCCTATCTGGAATACACTTGATAATGCCCTGAAATTTTATAGTTTATGTATGAGAAATTTGATAGAGGTATCACCCAAATTGGGCAACAATTTTTAAAGTCCATGTAACATGACAGTAATAAGTTATAAACATGAAAAAAACCTTTCTATACTAGTAATAAAATAACACATTTTGATCAACTAGAGCAGCAGTCCCCAACCTTTTTAGCACCAGAAACTAGTTTCATGGAGGACAATTTTTCCGCAGGCCGGAGGTGGGAAGGATGGTTTGGGGATAATTCAAGTGCATTACATTCATTGTGCACTTTATTTCTATTATTACATTGTACACATTATTCTACTTTTACATTTCTATTATCATCTTATATTGTCACTTGTCACTCATTAATAGGGTTTTGATATGAGTCTGCAAGCAATTGACTTATTATGGTCTCTGCACAGTCAAACCTCTCTGCTAATGATAATCTATATTTGCAGCCCTCCCCAGTACTAGCATCACTGACTCAGCTCCACCTCAAATCATCAGGCATTAGATTCTCATAAGGAACATGCAATTTAGATCCCTCACATATACAGTTTACAGTAGGGTTAGCGCTCCTGTGAGAATCTAAGGCTGCCACTGATCTGACAGGAGGTGGAGCTCAGGTGGTGATGCAAGCAATGGACTGTGAATACACAGATGAAACTTGACTTGCTGGCCCACCACTCGCCTCCTGCTGTGTGTCTTGGTTCCTGACAGGTCACGGACCAGTAGGATGGATACCGATCCATGACCTGGAGGTTGGGGACTACAGAACTAGAGGAAAGACTTGAATTATTATATCCACTATAGCAAATATTACAAAATTATTGTCATGTATAAAGATGATAAAAGTGTTTAAAGATAAATGATATAGAATAAGAGTATTAGAAGTTGTACCTAAGTAATAAAAAGTACCATATTATTTTTCTAGATTTGGTTATATTTTAGTACTAGTCAGGGTTTTTTTGTTTTTTTTTAAGAGGCAGTCTCACTCTATCACCCAAGCTGGAGTGCAGTGGCCTGATCATAGCTCACTGTAACCTCGAACTCATGGGTTCAGGTGATCCTCCTGCTGCAGCCTCCTGATTAACTGGAACTCTAGGTGTACACCACCATGCTCCAAAATTAAAAAAAAAATTTTTATATAGACTGGGTCTCACTGTTACCCAGGCTGTTCTCGAACTCCTAGCCTCAAGTGATCCTCCCATCTCAGCCTCCCAAAGTGCTGGGATTATAGGTATGACCTGGTCCTGGTCATTTTTTTATAACCTATATTTTGTTGTGACTTATTTTCTCAGTCAAAGAAATATTCATTTTCATATGTAATTTTGTATTTTTAGTTCTATATATTTTTTCTTAAATGGTCTTCAAAGTTGTATAAGTATCAGGCCTCACAAAACTAGTTCTGCCCCTGATTTGTGGGAATTTTTTAAATGATGGACTAGTTTATTTAATAATGATACAATACTTTACATTTTTTATTTCCTCCTATGTCAGTTTTGATAAATTCTTGATAGGAAATTATTCATTTCATTTAAACATATTTTAACTCAAACTTGTTTATAACATTCTCATTTTATATTTTTTAAGTTTGTAGGATCTGTAGTGGTGATTTATTTTTATTCCTGACATTTGGTATTTGTGTTTTCTTTCTCTTTTTTCCTTGTTAAGTACCCCAAGGAGTTTATCAATTTTTTACTGTTCTTCCCCGACAGAAACAGCTTTCAGCTTTGCTGATCTCTCCTGTACGTGCTTAATTTCTACTTCAATCTTTAATCTTAGCTCTACTTTTTCCTTCTGCTTGCTTGTTTGATTTGAATTTAATGTTTTTACATTTTGAATTGGATGTTTAGACTATTAATTTTCATTTTCTTTTTTCTAATGTATATTTTTGATACAATAGCTGAGTTAGACAATAATGACAAGACAATTTCCCAGAAAGTAAGGCCACAAAAATAGATGGAAAATTGAGAAAGGAACAAGAAAAAATTATAGGATTATTCTGTGAAGTCCAACATATTAATAATATGAAGTCCAGAAAGAGAAAAAGATAGGGAAAGAAAAACAAAATAATTAAAGACAGTTTCTCTGAATTAAAGGACATTGGTTTGTTAATTGAAAGGGCCAACCAAGGGGCAAGCAAAATAGATAAAGATAAATCCACACTAAGTCATATCACAATGACAATTCAAAGAACTGGGAGTATGAAGAAGTTATGATAAACTAAAAGAAAGAAATAGAGAGAGAGGAAAAAGAGAGAGAGAAAGTTCCAAGTAATTCATTTAAAGAATGAAGAGTAAAGAAATTCATTTGAATACTAATGACTGCCTCTAAAACCACATTGGAAACATAAGAAAATAGAACAATATTCTTAATATTCTGAAAAATATATATTTTTATCTATTTCAAGTCAAATTATTAAGTATGAATGTGAAGATATTCTCAGATATGCAATATATCAAATAATTTACATTTTCTGCACTACTTATAAGGGATTTACTGGAAGATGTGTTTTATCCAAAGAGCAAGTAAATCATCAAAGAGGTAGACATGAAATTCAAGAAACAGAGAATCCAACATAAGAGAGGCAAAGAGAATCCTCAGGGTTATGGTGAAGGGAGATTTCAAAATGATGGGCTGTCAGTAAACTCACACCACAGCCACTCCAGATTGGAGCAGATCAGAAGGCTCTCTTTGAAGTACTCGAGTGTTTAAATGTACTGAGAAAATTTACACAACTATTGATAGGGGCGTGTGAATTTTAGTATTGACTCAGGGATAACTACATAGAAAATTGTATATAATTATTCATAAAGTGTGGTGGTGATTTGTACAAGAAATAAAAGGTGATCAGGTTATAGAGCATGGTTTCATATTTATGTAGTCATAATGAGACAAACATTGAATGTGGATGCAATAAAGATGACTGTATAACTATATGCATGGGAGCAAGATAAGTGTTGTGGGGAGGAGTAACGGGAGGGGGAGAAGAAGAAGAGTGAAATCATTTTATTTTAATGGAAAGTCCATAAATAAGGAACCAGTCTGAAAAATCAAGAAGGAAGAATATCGACATTTGTAAAGAGAAATGGTGGTAAATCTCCAAACAATTAGCTAAAAAAAAAAAAAAAATTGAAAATGGTTGCTTTTATAGAGCAAAAAACTATAATAAAGTTGACAAGCTTTAAGGAACTGCTCTAGTTTTTCACAAATCTTGTAGAAAGAAAACTGTAGGAAAAAAATCTGATAGAATTAAAAACTAAACTTGAGAAGTATTAAAAATTTAAAATATTTTCCAATTTTTTATATTTTTCTTTACATAATAGAAAGTCAGTTCAGGGTATAATGGGTAAGGAACAACTGTAGCTCATCTACCACCAGATGCTGACTAGTTAGTTCCACAAGTCCCACAAGTCATCACAACAGCTTTGATTGGATGAGAGACTGATTTCAGTAACTTTCTCCTGGTAAGAAGTCCACTGACCATGGACTGATTCTGGCTGGTTTACAGAAGATGCTCATTTGAGTGCCTTTGTGGTCCCTGCTTCACCTTTTGACATACAGGGTCTAATTCTAATTCATTTAAATGTTGTCTCCACCCCAAAGTGAACATAGCTTGTAACATGCATATTTATTCACTGTCACATATCAGAACCCCTTTCATGAATATTTATAGATCCTCCCATAATTTATTCAATATGTATACTTAGCCAACCCCTTCAGCATAAATTCCTGTCTCATCTTTCCTCCTTCAAAATGCCTGTTTCCAGGCTCTACTGGAGGCTACACTTCTTAGCCTGGCAGGATGGCCACCTTGCAGGCTGTAAGTAACCCTTTATAAGAAATAAAGTTCTCATTTCCAAATTTATAATTGTGTGATTTTTAGGTTGACAAGACCCACATTAAACTAGCAGTAGAGTAATTTGATCCTCTCACTTTGCCTTATAAATGGTATTTTCATGCCCACGGAGATTTTTTTATTTCTTCCACAATCCAAGTCTTACACTTCACATGCGACTGAACTCGAACTTTGCCTTACCCAAGCTAGTATTTCCAAAGGACATGATGATTTTCTTTAATATCCTTGTGTGTTTATGCCTGTGAATGTCATTTCTTTTGTATTTTCATAGTGACAGAAATATACTCAATTAAGTACATACATGTAAATGAATGAGTAAATAAGTAAATACTGGATTACTTTGTCTGTAAGATATGGTAGATGGTCATACCATAAGCTAAGTCTTACTTTTCTTTTTTATTCTATACTACTGACAGACTTCACAGAGTGTGGGTTTCCCTCCTTTATAAAATTGAACACCTATATCTATCGTATGGCTTTATTGTGGCAACCAGAAAGCATTTTATTCAATTCTGACCACTCTATAATAACAGTTAACTTATACAGAATACTTACTATGTGCCAGACACTGTTCTATTTCTTGTAATTAACTTCCTTGATCCTCAAAGAGATCCTGTGAGATATGTATTATTATTAATCGCACTTTATGAAGAATGAAACTGAGTCTTAGAGAGATTGACTGACTTGTCCAATGTCACAAAGCTTGCCAGACACAAAGCCAGGCAATCTGGCTCACTGTCCACCTTGCTATCTTTTGGGTGATATTTCAGACCAAAGAGATATTCAATAAATAGTAGTCAGTGTTAAATTATGAAGACTAATCAATTTAATAAATTTATGTTATATCAGTACTTATTGACTTTGATGTGTTTGTTAATTGTAATTCTTCAATATTTCATGCACAGGGTGGTTTTCTTTCTGATAATTTGAATTTATTACAGCATTTGAAAACTTCTAACAACCATTAGAGATGAATGCAGATATCACTTCAGAGAACAGTTATTTTTTCATAAAATATTTAGTTATTGAAGATAAATCCTTTCAGTTGCTTTTGTTGTCTCTATTATGAGGAAGTTCATATGATACTTTCTGGGGATAATAATGTACATCAAAATTATCAAACATAGGAATTTAGATTCAGTGTTGAATGAAAAAAATATACCCTTAATTGGCTATATGAGACTGAAAACATTGGAAAATAATTTTTATAGGATTTAAAATACAAAGGAATCATTAATTTCCCATTAGTTTTGGTTGACATTCAATGGGCCAATATTTTTTTTAATTTCTTTTTTTTCCTTTTTTAAAATTTCAGCATCTTATGGGGGTACAAATGTTAAGGTTATGTATATTGCCCATGTCCCCCTCCCCCCACAAGTCAGAGCTTCAAGCATGACCATCCCCCAAACATTGTACATCTCACTCATTATGTTTGTATATAACCCTCCCCCTTCCCACCCAACTGACACCCAATAAATGTTATTCCTATATGTCCACTTAAGTGTTGATCCGTTAATATCAGTTTGCTGGTGAGTACAACACATGATATTTTGATTTAACTTTAAAATGAGAAACACCAATAAAAGTGAGAGAAAAAAAAATCCAAATTTAAAATACTTGAGTGGTGGGTTTATCTTGTAGCATTAGAACAATAGAAAAAGAGAGTATCGGTAAAATTAAAAATGATTTTTCAGAGAAAAAAGATTAAGAGAAAAATATTTTACCATGACTCTTTTATTGATGCTATACATTGTATCTATGCTGCTTTCATTTTCCTTGCAAAAGATATTTGTACCAGAGTTGTCCTTCCCTTGCTGGAGCACAAGTGTGAATAGCTGATTTCAGAAGTCATAAGACCATGTGTTATTTCTGGAAAATTAGGAGTATTACCTCTCATACTGTGATTAATTGCTATTCTATAATTAGAGAACTATAATCAAAATTTGAAATGAGAAAGTATAATCGGATTAATCACAAAGCACATGCTGAAAAGAAAAATCCTTAAGATTAAATTAATTGAAGAAATAAAATGACAGCAATAATTTTTATTTGTTTTTTAGGTATATCCATAAAGGATAATGGGATTTGAATACTCTCTAACTATAGACTCAGTGGGATTATTTTAAAATGTCATTTCAGAAATTGAGTTATAAAATAATAAGTTTATGTTTTTATAGACAACTTTGAAGACATAAAAGCAAAAAACAAGAAAGACAAATTTTATTTATTTATTTAATTTCAGCATATTACGGGGGTCAAATGTTTAGGTTACATATATTGCCTTTGCCCTGCCTGAGTCAGAGCTTCAAGAGTGTCCATCCCCCAGAGAGTGTGCACCGCACCCATTAGGTATGAATATACCCATCCCCACCTCCCCCCTCCCATCTGCCTGGCATGCAATGAATGTTACTACTATATGTACACATAAGTGTTGATCAGTTAAGACCAATTTGCTAGTGAGTATCCAATTTTATGTGGTGCTTGTTTTTCTATTCTTGTGATACTTCACTTAGTAGAATGGGCTCCAGCTCTATCCAGGATAATAAGAGAGGTGCTAGATCACCATTGTTTTTTGTGGCTGAGTAGAACTCCGTGGTATACATATACCACATTTTATTAATCCACTCATGTATCGATGGGCACTGGGTTGTTTCCACATTGCTGCAATTGTGAATTGTGCTGCTATAAACATTCTAGTGCAGATGTCTTTTTTATAGAATGTCTTTTTTTCCTTTGGGGAGATGCCTAGTAATGGGATTGCTGGATCAAATGGTAGTTCTACTTATAGCTCTTTGAGGTATCTTCATAGTACTTTCCACAGAGGTTGTGCTAGTTTGTAGTCCCACCAGCAGTGTATGTATAAAACTATCTCTCTGCATCCACTCAGCATTTGTTATTTTGGGACTTTTTGGTAAAAGCCATTCTCACTGGATTTAAGTAATATCTCATTGTGGTTTTGATCTGCATTTCCCTGATGATTAGAGATGTTGAGCATTTTTTTCATATGTTTGTTGGCCATGAGTCTGTTTTCTTTTGAAAAGTTTCTGTTCATGTTCTTTGCCCACTTTTTAATGGGATTGTTTAATTTTTTTCTTACTGATTTTCCTGAGTTCTATATAGATTCTAGTTATCAGTTCCATAAATAGAAGTAAAAACAAAGACCATATGATCCTCTCAATAGACACAGAAAAAGCATTCAACAAAATTCAGCACCCTTTTATGATAAGAACGCTTAAAAAATAGGCATAGATGGGACTTACCTGAAAATGTTAAAAGCCACATATGACAAACCTACAGCCAACATCATACTGAATGGGGAAAAATTGAAAGTATTCCCACTTAGAACTGGAACCAGACAAGATTGCCCTCTATTGCCACTTCTATTCAACATAGTGCTGGAGGTCCTAGCCAGAACAATCAGACAAGATAAGAAAATCAAGAGCATCCAAATGGGGGCAGAAGTGGTCAAACTATAGCTTTTGGCTGACGAATATGATCTCATATCTAGAAAACCTCAAAGATTCTGCCATGAGACTACTGGAATTGATAAACAAATTCAGCAAAGTCTCAGGTTACAAAATCAATGTACAGAAATCAGTAGTCTTCCCATACACCAGCAACAGTCAAACTGAGAACCAAATCAAAGATTCAATACCCTTCACAATAGCAACAAAGAAAAGAAAATACCCAGGAATATATTTAACTAAGGAGGTGAAACACCTCTACAGGGAGAACTACAAAACACTAAGTAAGGAAATAGCAGAGGACATAAACAGATAGAAAATCATACCATGCTCATGGGTAGACAGAATCAACATTGTTAAAATGTCTATACTACCCAAAGTGATCTATAGATTCAATGCTAATCCCTATTAAAATACCAACATCATTTTTCACAGAGCTATAAAAAACAATTTTACTCTTTGTATGGAACCAAAGAAGACCCCATATAGCAAAAGCAATGTTAACCAAAAAGAACAAATTGGGAGGCATCAATTTACCAGCCTTCAAACTGTACTATAAGGCTATAGTAACTAAACAGCATTGAACTAGCACAAGAACAGAGACATAGAACAATGGAACAGAACTAAGAACCCAGATATAAAACCATCCTTATATAGCCATCTAATCTTTGACAAAGCAGACAGAAACATATACTGGGGGAAAAAGTCCTTATTCAATAAATGGTGCTGGGAAAACTGGATAGCCACATGCAGACTGAAACAGGATCCGCACCCATCACAAAAATCAACTCACATTGGATAACAGACTTAAACCTAAGGCATAAAACTGTAAGAATTCTAGAAGAAAATGTTGGAAAAACTCTTGTAGACATTGGCCTAGGCAAAGAATTTATGAAGAAGACCCCGGAGACAATCACAGCAACCATAAAAATAAATAAATGGGATCTGATCAAATTAAAAGGTTCTTAGCCAAGAAAACTATCACGAGAGCAAACAGACAACCTACAAAATGGGAGAAAATATTCGCATGCTACACATCCAATAAAGGGCTGATAACTAGAATCTATATAGAACTCAGGAAAATCAGCAAGAAAAAAATCAAACAACCCCATTAAAAAGTGGGCAAGAAAGAAGAATTTTAAATTTTTTATTTCATCGCTAACCATAACCACCACCCTCATTAGTGCCCTTCCTATCCTGGCTCCAAAAAGAATCAGCAAACACTTATGGCTTCTTCCGGGAGAAAACAAAGGGCTTGTGGAATTCAGTAATATGTAGCATTTTCCCTGTCTATCCTATCCCCTTCATCACTTTGTGAAATAACAGAAGGTGGAGTAGGCAGAATTGTGTATACCAGACTTCTGAAATGACATTATAAAGGATTTGGGCAGGAAAGTGTCTGACTCATGCAATTACTAAGAGTTTCCCTTGAATATATGCAAAAGATAATGTAAAGCTTTTCATGACTTGTTAGCTGGGTGAGCAAACCACTTAATCCCACTGAGTTTGTTGTTTTCACACCTACTGAAAAAAGGATAAAATTACTTTCCCTACCTACCTAATCCTGTAAAGCTGAAACCTTTTGTGTGTGTGTAGAATATATCTTATGTACGTTATATCATAGTATATATAAAATACATATTACATATGAAAGTGTTTTAGAAATGCACATACAAATTTCAGTAATTGTAGATATAAAAACAGACTTTTAAAATGTATAGCAAGCAAGACCTGTAAATTCTTTAGATTGCCATTATGTGCTTATTAAGAAAAATTATTTTGCTCATCTTTTTCCTCATTTACATGAAAGAATAATTATGACAGCTGACATTTAATAGGGCCCTGGCAGTGTGAAGTACTCTACATCTCATTTGTCATCTCATCTAATGCCCACAACAAATCTTATCCATAGCAATTCAGGTCTAGGACTAACATGAGGGAAATGAGATACTTGCTTCAGGTATAACATTTATGGAAGCATCAAAAACAGGGTTATCAGATACATAATATTTTAATACAATATTTTAAAAAAACAAAAGTAACCCTAATAAATCCATGATAAACAAAATATCAACAAAGATCTTTCAATAAAGACAGGCATCTTGTATAGCCTTGGGTAAATTACTTCTTTGTGCCTCCACTTTTTTATCTAAAATGGGGATAAATAATAAAACCTACTTCTTAGGGTTGTAATGAAGAGTAATGATTTAGAACAGTGCCTGCTACATTTAAATATTTGAAATATGTTAGTTAAAATCATTTCCTATTGTCTTTACTATTTTTGCAACTTTAAATATGAGAAAACAGAGGCTCGAATGGTTTATTTTTATTTTTTTTAGAGACAAGGTCTCAGTCTGTCACTCAGGCTGGAATGTAGTGGCACAATCATAGCTCACTGCAGCCTCAGAACTCCTAGGTTCAAGGGATCCTCCTGCCTCAGCCTCCTATTTAGCTGGGACCAGAGCAGGTGCCACCATGCCCAGATAATTTATTTTTTTGTAGAGACAGGGTCTCACTATGTTTCGCAAGCTGGTCTCCAACTCCTGGCCTCAAATGATCCTCCTGCCTTGGCCTCTCAAAGTACTAGGATTACAGACATGAGCCACCATGTCTGGCTGACTCAAAGGGTTTAAAAGTCTTACATCCAATGTTACAAAGCCAGTCACAGGATTCACGCTTAGGAAGTTTTACTCAAGAGCTCTTTTCTTAATCATTTAACTACATTGTTTCTCAGGAGGATGTTATGAAACTATGTGTTCGTAAGTGACTGCACATGTATGTGCACCTCTTTGGTAGATGAGTGAGTTATACAATGAAAGGTTTTAAAATCTCTCAAAATTCAACCAAGTGTTATTGCCTTGCCTTAGATGAGTTTTACTAGATCGGCATTGTTTAGCAAGCGGCACAGAAGGAAACAGAAGGAATGCCCTACAGGCAGACTGTGGGATTGTGAGAACAGGATCTTCTTCACTTCCCTGAAGAGGTTATAATATTATGTAACCAGTACCTTGTAAATAAGAGGGCAATCCATGTTTGCAAGGAGATATATCAATGGTTAGGATTCAGTCAGGATATATTAATAGTTAGCATTCAGCTTTAACTTATTAGGTTTGCTCATTTGAACTTAGCTGTAGTCATATTTTTTAAAAATGAGAATACATAGAGTTATTGGTTAATAGGGTAAGTGGGAAACAACACACATATGTGTGTTTATACAACTATATCCACAATGTGCAGTACATGGCGCAGAACAAAAAGCACACTTTATTATTTATAAAGCTTATGACTTTAATTATACCTCTTGGTAAAGCAAGCAAGGGATTATTTATGAGTTTCTAGGTGGGTCACAGTGACACTTTCTAAGAATAAAGCTTAGCTATTTAACTTGTGACTCAGTGCTCTCTATCCTGACTGAAGCTGTGTTATTGCCTCTTAAATGTTATCTCTCAGCCAGATTTTGGAAGACAATTTAATTCCCTTTATGAATGAACAGGGGCAAATTAGAGGATGTATTTCTATGCTTTGAATATTTCCTCACTGAATACTAGGATGAGTTAAAGTGCAAAGCCCTGGCTTCTAGCCTTAAATGTAATCCTACCCAGTGAAAACTGATATAAGAGAGAGAGCAGTTCCTTGGTCAAGCAATTCAACAAGAGCCACACAGACACGTACACGTTAACACACAAATATGACAAAACATGCATAAATAGATATATGTAGTTGAAAAGAGGACCCATTTTTATGAAATGCCAAAATTTGCCTGATGCCTTTTTCACAACTACATATATTTCACAACTTCATAACATTATTTATAAACAACTAGTTCAACAAATAGAAAATATGCTATTTACCTTCCTTGTCTCTGGGATCTGCCACCAACTAACTCTGCAACTTACTGCTTCTGTACCCAATTTTCTTACCTAAAATGGGGTTAATCATAAGACCCATCTCATAAATTTGTTATGAGTATTAAATAGGATAAAACATGCAAAGTGTTTAGAAGAGGACATGGCACTTAGCAACTGATCAAGTGTTACCTCTCCCAATATCACTGTTATCTTGGAAAAAGCCTTGAAACTTGCCAAAATAATACACCACCTTTAATGATGAGAGTGGAAATGTACATTTTTGGATCCAGAGACCCTTATTTTACCCAGCTTTCTAAGGCATCTATTACATCACAATAAGATAGCAAACATTCCTTTTTCCTTCTTCTTTGTCAACAGTTGCCATAGCCTTAATTATCTGTAAAAAAGCTTTAGAATGGGAAATGTAATGAAGTTTTTGACAATATGCATTACGAGTCTAGACAATCAGCAAAACAATAAATCAAGCTGTGATATGTAGAGTTTACCATCTTTTGAAGTGTAAAAACTCCCACCATGGTCAATTTCAAGTTATCAAAGTGGTGGGAAGAGATGTACTAGACCACATTGTTATGTAGCATTTGCACTAAATAGCCACCATGGACATAGAAAACCTTAAGAGCACAAAAATAGTAAAATAAAGTAAAATATTAGGAATCGATGAGTTTGAACCATTTATTGTTTTTGTTTTTAATATAATTTATTTAATTGTGGGTTTATATAGTTTAATTTTTAATTATGGCTGTGTTTGACAACTGACTCAGGAAATTCCTAGAGATTTTACAATTGGGTCTCAGGAACCAGCATGAGATTGCTCCAAAACACCACTGAATTGAGTCATCAAATAGCTAAATGTCACAAAAGTATGCTGGTGAAGAGAAAACCTGGCTAAGGAGATTATGAAGCATTACAAATCTTATCTTCCTTCAAATCCAAGTGATATGCTCAAATCCATCAATTTGTGGGAATCAGGAGAGTGAAATGGCAGAAAAATATAGTACTGGCTTAAAATAAGTTATCTTTAACATTAGAAATGCTACTCTAGCAACTGGGCAAGAATCTTAATCATTCTGGAATTATCCACTTATCTACAAACGAGGATAATAACGTCTCCCTTCCTGAGACTAAAAGAGTATGGATCAAGCTAGGAAAAGACCCAAAGTCCTAAAAGTTTTAGGTAGCATGATGGACTCCAGGATAAAGGGGCTGGGAGGAGCCTCAAGAGACAGAGAAAAGAAGCATGCCTTTCTCTTCTCTCAGAAAAGAGTAAAGTAGGCTTGGAAAGAAGGAAACTGGTTTGATAGAAAGAACCATTTTGCTCCCAGTGAATTAACAAATGAATGAATGAATAGGGTTACAATCACAAGGTGAGAGATCTTCTGTGAAAACTGATCAAAAGAAAGGGGCTATGTGGGGAAGTTATGACCTCCAATGTTTAGGTGGACAGAGAGATCACAATTGCAGTCTGTAGTTTGGCCTCACTTATGAAGACCATTTAAAAAAAAACAAAAAACAAATTTGTCTTTTTCAGAACCAGGGCCAAGAAATAAACAATTGCCTGGTGTGTATACAGTTTGGACTTGCAAAATTCAGATTTATGTGTTAAGACCTGCCAGGTGAGTCTGAAGCCTATCACAGAGAGAGGTACATGACATATGACCTGTCCCAGGACAATAATTACTATAAAGGAGCATTGAAAATTAAAACAAAAATGGCTGATGAGGCATGTATATGATGTGCTGACGGCCAATTCTGGAAGGGTCAGGGTACAAATGAGGAGTGTGGGACAATAATTGAGCCTAACTTTCACCATCTGGAATTGCCCTGGGAACCTTAGCAGTTGATCACTGCCTGTACTAAATACAGGAAGCCTCTGTTTAAGGATATCAGATTACACATATTTCACCCTTCCACTGGACTCAAGAAACTAACTATATGATAATCATACCAATTCCTTAGAAAAAGGTTAAGAAAAAAACAAACAAGAACAACAACAAAGAGAAAATATCACAATTAATTCACAATTCTGGGTAAGAATCATGAGTACCCGAGAATGAAGATTAATCTCTTTCATCCTCCCAAGGCATCCCTTTGATCTACAGTTCAGGATTTCCCTCTGACCTTGTCACTTAAATTGAACTGTAAGACGCTGTGATGCTTAATCTTTCCAAATAAAGATCTAATGAGCGCTGACCTCTATGGAGTGTGCCCCGTCAGCACTGTGCTGCCCAGACTGAAATGCTCCGCATTTCAGTTTGTCAAGGGCATTTATGATATCTCCTCAATTCAAAGTCTTTAGGCATTTAAGAGTTCGCAACACTGTCCCTTCCAAAGTGAGGATGACTTCATCACACATCCTCTGGGTTCTTTAGGCACAGCTTCTTTTAACTGTCCCGACCACATTGCCTTGCTTCTGCCAAGGATGCCACTTTGCCCCTGGCATTCAGCACTGACCCAGCCTAACAGAAGTAGAGCAGGCTGAAAATAGCAGCAGCAAAGGCAGCCAGGGCTCCCCTGCCTCTCTAAGGATGCCTTTGCATTTTTTTCTTTTCCTTTTTTTTTTTTTTTCTTAATGGTGCAACAAAGCTGTATTGTAAGTCTAATGGATCTAAGCAGATATAATGCATATGAAAAATATACACACACAAATATATATGTGATTAATCCTAAGCAATATAAATGCATTTTTCTAGTTCCATTACCTAAATTCTCAGCATGTATTCTGCACTTAACCCAGGTATAACTAACTAGTTGCCTTTTTGCTCTACTGCCATTATTCTTTCCTCTGACAACAACTTTGCACCTCAAGTGCCTGCCATATGGTGATAATTCAATAAATCTTGAATAAAGAAATTAATGAATATATACTGCATCAGTCAGGAGAGCCTAAGTTATACTGCTGTAACAAGTGACTCCCATGTTTATTTCTTGTTTGTGCTTTATGTCCATCAGGGTCAGCTGTGGCTCTGCCTTAAGCGACTTAATCACTTTTTTCATTGGCCAGGGCAAGTCACATGTGTAAGCCTGATTTCAATGGGTTGGAAAAGTATAATCTGCTTCCAGGAAAGGGCACTGAATATCACAAATATTCACTTCTCTTCAGTGCCTATATACAGAACACGCTCACCTACTCCCCACAGGAGATGACCCTACGAGTCACAGCACCAGGCTCAATGTCTCCAGGCTTGTGATGGTCTTTACATTGGTCTACATTGTGTTCCTATCAGCTGCTTCTCTCTGAGACTAGCCGCTAGCGTAAAAAGGCTGTGCCAACGAACTGCTTACCCTATGTGGGTTTGTTTACATGTGCAGAAGAAAGAAACTAGTTCTGGAATTATTAATTTAATTATTTAATTATACATTTTCCTTATAAAGAGCCCTGGGAGCCTATTCCTAAGTACAGAACACTGTAAGTTGGGTCATTTGTAACCCTAGGACTGCCTGTTATGTTCTTCTTCTTCTTCTTTTTTTTTTAATAATTATATCCCTATATGAATAATAATAGATTTTTTCTTCCAAATAAAAAAATATTATAGAACACTAATTTTTTTTCAGAATGGAATTATTCTGCATAGAAGCTGTAGCATTTGACAATAGAACATTTGTTCTACTAACGTGAAACCATAGAAGAGAACATTCCAAACTGTGGTTTTGGACTGGTTTTATTTTGATATTTCTTTATGTGAGAGAATCCCCATTTAAAAGCTGCTAACAGCCTCTATTTTAAGAGATGTAGAAGTTAGACGACTTTTTCATAGATTGTATTTGTTTAGTACTAGTCAACAAATGTCCTTTTAATTTTTTTAAGGGGTAAGGCAAGTATCCTGAGAGTAAGAGAATAATAGAATACTTTATGGCTTCATAAGAATTTAGAATATAAATGTTGGCGGTGGGTGAAATTAGGTGTCTTCCATAAGCATCTCTTTGAACCTGTGGCTTTATTTGGGGGCCAAAGAGCCATTCCAGAAGAGGTGCAGGTCTCAAAGCTTTGTCTTGAAGGTTCAGAGTGATCTGGGCATACTCTATGAATGGGTGTGTCTGAAATAGAGGCAGTTGGTAACCAAGGTTACCAGGGGCCCTAAGAAGAAACTCATCACCATCTTGGGAGTCAGAGAGGCGGACTGCAAGAGCAGTGTGGCTGCACTCAATTTAACACGCCTTGAATAAAATGACTGCATGTTTGAAATACAAGAGCTGAGCATTAAAAGCAATCACACTTGGGAATTTCAACCCACTTTGGCATGGGAGATTATAGTTCTAATATTTCTTTGGGAATAGAAGATCCCTGTGGACCCTGAGAAAGTATTGCAACATAAGAAGCAGAACTTGGGTAGAGAACTGACCATATACTTCCTTGTTTCTTTTCCTTTGAAACTAGAAGTGGATTTGATTGAAGTAAGCACTTTGGAAAAAGAAGTGTATTCCTCAAAAGAGATGCCTGAGTTATCCTCTGAACTACTTAAGTCCAGTTTTTAAGAGGCGTGAATGAAAAATCATTATTGTTTCAAAGTGCAGCCAAGGTTAAAAACCACTGAGTTAGAGCACAAATTAAAACAGTATTATATGCTTTCATTCCTTGTCTGTTCTCCACAAGCCTCAAATCCTTCTCCAGTGCTAGATGAACTTTGGGCTTTGTCAATGAATTTGTAGGAAAAATGTAGCTTCTTTCACATACGTTTATATTCATTTACTCTCTTGTTCAACATTCAGTAAACACTGTTAATACTTATCCCACATCCTCAACTAAATACTGAACATAATGACAAGCAGAATGCAATCTCTAGCGCTCCAGGAACCAAGGCGGTTGCTTCCACCTACCTTCATTGCTAGATGGAACTACACACCCATTCCTCTCTCTCAAACAGACCTCATCAGATATTTTAAAAAGAAAATCAGTTGACATAAAGTTTATTCCTAAATGCTTTTTAATTCAATAAGTATAACTGATTTCTCATGAGATTTCCAGCATTTCCTGTTTTACCCAAGTTTGGAATAACTTAAACTCAGATGACCCTTGTATCCCAGTATATTCTCATTTTTGTCTGTCTTAGTTCAGAATAATCAGAAAGACAAACAGAAAAAAGAAAAAAACATGTTTATTCACATTTGTTTTAATCTCAAGAAATATTGAAGCTAAATTTCTTTATTCAAAAGCAGCTTACTGCTCTTTGCTAAGTAACTGGATTATAGGATGTTTAGGATTCTAAAAAAGAGAAAAAACTGTTTCTAGAGCTTTTGATTTGGAGGCTATGGTTTGCAGGT